AAATTCCTCGGTAAAATAAGTATTTGGTCACCTACAAACAAGCAAGATTTCTGGCTCTCACAGACCTGTAACTTCTTCTTTAAGAGTCTCCTCTGTCCTCTCTGTCCTCACCTGTATTAATGGCATCTGTTTGAACTTGTTATCAGTATAAAAGACACCTGTCCACAACCTCAAACAGTCAAACAGTCAGTGGTCATGATGACAGATGCTTTCAACTCAGGTTCCAACTAGGCTCCTGGTCCAGGAAACATATAAACAACCTGGAAATGATGGTGTTTGTCCTGGCTCTCAAAACGCTCCTGTTAGCCCTAAAGAGGTACCACATCCTGGTCCATTCCGACATCATGACAGTGGTGGCCTACATAAACCACCAAGGTGGTGTCAGGTCGTGGCCTCTATAGAAGTTGGTGAGGCGCTTCCTCATATGGGCACACTAAAGGCAGTGCACTTGATGGACATGTTGAACCAGGGAGTGGACATGCAGTGGGGCAAAAAAGTATTTAGTCAGCCACCAATTGTGCAAGTTCTCCCACTTAAAAAGATGAGAGAGGCCTGTAATTTTCATCATAGGTATACCTCAACTATGAGAGACAAAATGAGAAAAAAAATCCAGAAAATCACATTGTAGGATTTTTAAAGAATTAATTGGTAAATTCCTTGGTAAAATAAGTATTTGGTCACCTACAAACAAGCAAGATTTCTGGCTCTCACAGACCTGTAACTTCTTCTTTAAGAGGCTCCTCTGTCCTCCACTTGTTACCTGTATTAATGGCATCTGTTTGAACTTGTTGTCAGTATAAAAGACACCTGTCCACAGCCTCAAACAGTCACACTCCAAACTCCACCATGGCCAAGACCAAAGAGCTGTCAAAGGACACCAGAAACAAAATTGTAGACCTGCACCAGGCTGGGAAGACTGAATCTGCAATAGGTAAGCAGCTTGGTGTGAAGAAATCAACTGTGGGAGCAATTATTAGAAAATGGAAGACATACAAGACCCTACTGTGAAGCATGGGGGTGGAAACATCATGCTTTGGGGCTGTTTTTCTGCAAAGGGACCAGGATGACTGATCTGTGTAAACGAAAGAATGAATGGGGCCATGTATCGTGAGATTTTGAGTGAAAACCTCCTTCCATCAGCAAGGGCATTGAAGATGAAACGTGGCTGGGTTTTTCAGCATGACAATGATCCCAAACACACCGCCCGGGCAATGAAGGAGTGGCTTCGTAGGAAGCATTTCAAGGTCCTGGAGTGGCCTAGCCGGTCTCCAGATCTCAACCCCATAGAACATCTTTGGAGGGAGTTGAAAATCCGTGTTGCCCAGCGACAGCCCCAAAACATTACTGCTCTAGAGGAGATCTGCATGGAGGAATGGGCCAAAATACCAGCAACAGTGTGTGAAAACCTTGTAAAGACTTACAGAAAACGTTTGACCTCTGTCATTGCCAACAAAGGGTATATAACAAAGTATTGAGATGAAATTTTGTTATTGACCAAATACTTATTTTCCACCATAATCTGCAAATAAATTCTTTAAAAATCCTACAATGTGATTTTCTGGATTTTTTTTTCTCATTTTGTCTCTCATAGTTGAGGTATACCTATGATGAAAATTACAGGCCTCTCTCATCTTTTTAAGTGGGAGAACTTGCACAATTGGTGGCTGACTAAATACTTTTTTTCCCCACTGTATATATATATATATGAATACATAAATATGACTTCTGCACTACAAGTTTATGTGACAAACAGATCCAAATTTAAGTCATTGTGTGTTGATAATCAAATTTGGCACAGTTTGGAAGTAATTAGATATTTTTCCTATTCAAGCTGTGAATTTAATTTATGCAAGCAATTGGAATATCACAAAAAAAACTATTTCACAGCATTCCCATCCCATGTTCAAGAGAACAAAATAGAAATTCTGCCATTACTAAAGGACGTCAACTTGAATCTTCAGATTAAGCTACTGCTATAAAGTCCATAAAATCCATTTTTCCTGCATTAATAGCCACTACTCATCACGTGTTCCTAAACTGAAGTGCAGATCGTATGTGAAAGAGAGTTGTCTTAGAAATGAAGTGCTCTTACCGAAGTGTTCTGGCACTGGATGCAGGAGCTGTTAAAACGGACCGCGGGAATACGCTGGACTTTGCCCTGGATTTTAAAGACACACTCATAGTTCTTTTGTCCCGACTGAGGCTGGGGCAAGTTTCGAGCTCGCAACGTGATTGGCCGAACGATCCCCGCCGGTACCAGGATGTCGCTGCTAGGCAGAATCTGCGGGCAACCCTGAAAATGACAAAAAAGACAATATGTAATAATTCAGTCTCAGAGCAAAGCACAAACAATCCCAACTCATAAATATCGTAATGGATTCCACTTTCACTCCAAAGATGACACTGATTTCAGTTTATTGAGCTCAAGGACAATAAATAACGTCTATTTGACTGAAACTTTGCCTACAAACGTGGTATTCAGTCTCACACAAATGCACCAAGAAAGGAAATCGAGACCATTAGGGTGGGAATAATTTAAAATCCAGCAATCTGAGGCTAAAAACCCTATTACACAGCACTTGCATCCATCTCCAGTTTTACGAAGCGCGGGTTCTCTCTGCAGATCACACTGATGAAGCGCTAAATGAATATCTTCCTTAGTCCTGCATGTCAAGTCGTGCAAGAAGAGTCATTACGGTCTACTCTACCCGTAACCGATTGCAGCATTTATCAAAGACACTCATATTGACGTGACTTCTGATCACACTGATGGAAAACTAGTCTCATATCCTGAGACATATTAGCAGGTCAGAAACAAGGACACATGCAAAGCACAATCTGGAGAGAGAAACATGGTTCCTGTTTATACAAACCACATTAATTGATTGATGATTATCACTTATCGACAGATGCAAAGAGGCGTCGGTTGCAAACCAGCTCTTCTCCTTCCAAAGTTGTGCATCTGAGGATATTTCGGACAATCTGTAATCTATTTAACACTGAACAATAATCAGGGTGGTAGTAAAAGCAATTTGCAGGCAGAGGAGACATAAATCAGAGCCACTAGCCGCCCAGCTCACCGTCTGCCCGAGCCAAAAAGGCAGCACGCTTAACAATGATGCAACTATTTAACCCGGACCTCCATCAATCTGCACAGGTTTGCATATCAGTGCGACAATAAATCTAATTTTCATATTGGGTGTTTGTAAGGAAGGATTTACTCCCTGTGGAGGCACGAGGGGCACACAGACTGCAGCGAGAGGAAGGATAGCATGCCTGCATACTGCAAAATGAGCACAATGAATCAACTGTAGTCCTGGAGAAGATGACAACAGTGAACTAATGATAAATTACTCCAGTCGACTGGCCCGTAAACAAATACACTGTCCACGGGCATCAGAAAGCGACTCTGAGAAGGTGAAACTCGGGATGGGTGTATTTAATGAGAAAACACAAAGCTCAGTCACCGAAAAGGGTTGCAGCTGTGCGATACATGGCTTAGAGACGCAAAATATACATTCACTCCCTGCTTCCCAGTATGTCTACTTCACTAGTGTATAGTATTTCAAAAGAAGTATCTATCTATCTCTGTCTGTCTGTCTAACCATCCATAACACCATTAATATTACAAACATAACTGTCCTTAAATATAGTTTGGCTTATTGTTTTCTGCTGTCAATAAGAAACCTCCACCAACTTTTCTCTTAACAAACCTGTTAACAACATCCACTGCCTGTGCATATTCTGCTCAAATTGAAGGCAACTGCACCCTGCAGACATTTCCTGCCCCGTCCCTCTTAACGTCAGTTTGCTTGTTCTCATTAACAAGCTCCAATCACTACTTAATTATGAATTAAACAAGCCAGGGATGGAGCATTTGCTGAATGTGGCTTAAAGGTTACAGATAAGCTGAAGAGCTTGTTAACTAAAGAGTGGTGGGGTAATGTCAGTGTTTACCAGTACAAAACTCATCACGCCGGGAGCACTGCACATACAATGTGTAGCTCTGACTCTAATTCTTCTGATTGGACAACCCTTGTTTGAAGCCACATCAATTGAATTCTATATTAACATGCCATGTTGCCATGGTGGCATCAGTAAACAGCCTACGGTTAGGCTAATGAACTATATTATGCACAGAAAAATTGTTTGTTGAGGTTATTATGATTAATATGTTTCATTACTAATGGAACATCCGTGTTTTTCCATCATGTTATGGCTAAAATCCAATGGCTAGGCTGCAAGCATGCAAAATTATTTGCATGTCCTTAAACAGATATTAACAACAGGATATGATGTCACACTTGCGGTTTAAAAAAAAAGCAAATTATAGAATTAATAAATAAATGATAAATATAATACATTCAAAACATTAAAACTTTTCCAAGACAGCTCATTTTCTCAATGGAGCTTGAGGTTTTTAGATTTTACTGCAAAAAAATAAAATACCTTAACCTTGTTTTCTAGCAAAAATATCTAAAAATCCTTTCAAAAGTTTGAGTCTTGTTATCACAGAACATACCTTTAAGAATGAAAAGTTTAAGAATTAAGAATTTTTTAAAGAATTTAAGCATATATTCATTGGAATTCTGTGAGGTTTTTGCTTACAACATGAAGTCTACAATCTTACACCGTTTGCACATTAATAAATATTTTTATTGCAGTGTTGTATTGACAAACCTGTATTATGTATTATATTTATTAGGGATGCACCGATACCACTTTTTCCAGTACTCGCCCGATACCGATACTTTTATTTTTGGTACTTGCCGATACCGAGTACTGATACCAATATTTTATTGCATTTGGAAATTTTTTAAATATTGGGTACAGAAACCAAAAAAGGGTATGTATAATGTTAGTTGGTTGACTTCATTTATCAAATAGATAGTCAAACCTAAATTTATTCAGACAGTTTAGAAAATAGTAATAAAATATAACAAGAATTTAGAGTTAAATGGAGTCAGAACAAATTCAGCTTGATAATGTTAGATAACTTTGATAGAAAGGTACGTAGCCTAATGGATTACAATCAACCAAATATTATACAGCTGTTAATATGACAGTATTTACACAACTATCAATACTTTGTCGGGCAACCTTTAGCCTTAATGACAGCCTGTAGTCTCTTGGGCATGCTGTCACCCAGCTTCATGCAAACCTCAACTTCAGTTTTTTTTCCCCCAGACTCGGTCTGAATAATTTTTGGTCCCAATGGTCCCAAATTTGTATCAGTTTTACTGGTAGTCCACTGTATGAAGAAATGTTGGGTATAATTTGTCGCACACAAAATGCACAAGAAATCCAATTTTTCACTGGAGGTCAGCTAGAGGAAAAAACGAATTGTTGCTTACATATATAATTTCCCGAGCATTCAGTTGCTCAGTCATTCACTCCGTTTTTTCGTTTTTCCATTCCTTCTACCCTGTTAATCCCATTTTCAGTCTTCATAAGCCATAATCCATGAAATATGCTCCCTTCCCTCAGTGCCGAGAAAAATAAATTCAGTCTCCGGATCACTTGGTAGCTGTTCCAATTAAACGTTACATGATATTTTTTTACTTTATTCATCGGCTAAAGATGATTTTTTTTTAATGGCCTGTATAATCTGAGGCGCGGCACTTGCTGAAGTTTCTAAAGCTTTGATTGGTTGATTGGAGCTGGATAATATTCTGAAGGTGCTTTATGAAGCCTGACTTGAAAGTACATGCATATAACTACAAATTATAGTTAATATAGAAACGTCAGTTCACTGCAGAGGCTGAACTAATCATCAACCCGACAGCACTGATGAAAGGCACATTCAAAAATGTGATTTGGAGCCATGGCCTATAGCGGTTGGGTGCTGTTGTGGTACTCAAGCTTAGTAATCAAATAATACCATGGTACATAAATATGGTAATCAGAAAGTACCATGATACAAACAATACATTGGTATTTTGGTCATGGACAAATAAGAATATCCAAGATGATGAAAAAGGAAATAGAAAAAAAAAAGGTTCTAAGAAATATCATGTTTGTAGAAATGTATATGTACCATAAACAAAATCAAATATAAATATATACTGCTTAATATATACAAAACAAATATTTATATTATACAAAAATGCATTAGATAGATACATTAATTCATATATTGAATTGATGCTCATTATAAAGAGGCATTTTCAAGTGTCTATATAAAACATTTAATTCAATTAAAATGATAAAAAATTATATTCAAATTCAAATAAAAATAATATAAAAGAATGTATTAAGAATAAGGAAACATTTACACACATTTCTGTTTTTATTTATGAAAATTTTAATATTTAAATATGATATCAAGTTCTAAATATTATGATGTCGCTATTTCACTTTTAATTTTAGGCATACGATTATAATAAACAATTATGTGAAATAGATAAGTGATATTTTTAAAATTATTTTATTATTTTATTTAAATATAAAATAAAATTTGATTAATTTCAAATGTCAATGCACAACATACACATATATATATACATACACACACATACATATGCTTAGGTGTGCATGTAGTGCACTGACATGAAAGAGTTATTAAATATTTTTCAGGGCGGTCAACGTTAACGCGCTAACGCATGCGATTAATTTTACAATCCTTAAAGGGGTCATATGATGCTTTTTTAAAGATCATTATTTTGTGTATTTGGTGTAACAGAATATGTTGACATGCTTTAATATTCAATAATATTCACATTATTTTTCAAATACTGTACATCATTGTAGGTCCTCTATGCCCCGCCTCTCTCAAACGCTTCGTTTTCTACAAAGTCCCTCCTTCCGACAAGCGCAGTCTGCTCTGATTGGCCAGCTGACCCAGTGCATTGTGATTGGCCGAACACCGCAAGCACTCGTCGGAAATGTAACGCCCCTTACCATAATCGCGAGCTTCATCTTTCAAAATAAATGTAAAGACAGAGCCCGAAAGGGGAACAGAGTCGCGTGATAGACACAGTGATGAAGCTGGTCTCTCTCGCGCTCTCTCTCTCTCACACATACGTGCACGCGCACACACACATACACGATGCACAAAACTCCGCATTTAAACAATCAATAGCAAACACTTAAACTAATAACAAAACAGTAGCTGATTCAGAAGCGCCAGATTGTCATAGCAAAGTCAGAAT